TAATGAGAAGAACTCATCTGAAAGAGAAGAATTTGTTCAACTCTTGCTAGATTGCATCATAGAAGGAGATAAATTGTCATCCCTAGTGGAAAAGTTCATAATGAGAAGAACTAATCCCAAAGAAGAAATTATTCAACATTGCCATCATAATCAAGTGAAGTCAAATGGATAAAAAATTTTATTATCTTTTCGTCTTTGCCCTATTCTTGTTAATACAAGAATGAGCAAAGAGGGGAAGCTGAAGATACTATTTTTAACCCATTTTTTATTGTTATTATTATTATTTTATTTTTTTATTATTATTAAAATTATTATTATTACAAACAGGCCCAAAATCGGGGCCCAATTACAAATCTGGAAGCCCAACCAGAGGGCCCAATTAAAACCCTAAACCAATTTGGGGGTTTCAGCTAGGGTTTTCTAAACCCTAGCTCTCAGCCGCCTCAATCTTCCAGAAGTTCAGCCGCCGCCTCTGCTCAGCCGCCACCTCCACGTTGACGCCTCCCTACGTCGAAGCCCTATGGTGAGTCACCACTATAGTCCGGTGACTCACCTAGGGTCGCCATTTGGGACCGGTCTGAGAGCCACACCGTCGATGGCTATAAAAGCCATCGACCACCTGCAGAAAAAAAGAAGAAGGCAACAGACAACAACATTGAACAGAGACGAGAGAAGAAAAAAACCCGAAGGAAGACAGAAAGCTACCAACGATCCCAATCAACAACAAACAAGTAAAAAAAAAGAGAAGAGAAGAGAGAGCTTACTTTGTCATCGGAGGCACTTGAAACATCGCCGGAAACCTTCGGATTTCAAAGGTAAAATCCTAGATCTAGGAAATTCTAAGGGTTTTTAGGATAAATAGAGGTCATATTTGACCTTAGGATATAGAGATCTACGGTTTGGGATAATTTTCCAAATTCTGGCCACCGTGAACGGTGGCCGGCGGTGGCTACCGACGCCGGAGTAAGGCGACCGACTGGAATTCTTTTCCCTCAGATGAGGGAGTTAAAGAGAGAGGACAGAGCATTTTTTATTCTCTCTCAGTTAGAGAGAGAATGAAAAGAGAGAAATGAAATAAATGGCCCGAAGGGCCGGCTATTTGGGGTATTTAAACCCCTCCCCAAACGACGTCGTTTTGGGGCGGGGTGTGCGTGTAATTTCCATCAGGGGTAAACCCTGTCCGTAGTCACTATAGTTTGTAATCCTTATAATTTAGTCACTAAAAAACAATTCTTGATCATTTTAATTTAGTCTTCGAACTTTATTTTATTATGTTTTAGTCCATGCCAGTATTTATATATTTTATGATAAATACTAGATTTAGTCCCTCATTCTTTAATAAATTTTATTTTAACCCCGAAATAATTATATAAGGATAAATTACACTATAGACCTCCAGATCTGGTAATATGTCGAATTAGAGTATTAAGTTTAAATATTTTACATTTTAATCACTAATTTCAATATTTTCATTTATTTTTGATTACAAGTTTTATTGTTTTTTATATATTATAATTTTAATTTCATTTATTTTAGTTATTGTTTAAATATATTTTAATTTTATATGTTTATTTTCAATATATTTATTATTATTAGTATTATTATTTAATCATAAAAATATTTATATAATAAGCGATATTTATTTATTTTATTTTTATCATATTTATAAATTTGATTTTATATAAATTATTTTAAGGAAAAATAATCATATTTTCATATTTATTTATTTTTTAATATTAAAGAAAAAAGCTGTCTTAAAGCACCTAGAAGCCCTTTTCTGATATTTCTAAATAAATAAATAATTTAAATATATATATATATATATATATATATATATATATATTAATATTAATATTTTTTCTTAAAATTATATTAATGAATTTGAAATAACAGGATTATAAATTAAATATATCTTTGAATTTTGAAATTTTTAATAATAGAGACAATTTATAATTAATAAGTACCAATTTTGGACGTTGTAGGGGTGCTAATCCTTCTCTAAACGTAACCGACCACGGATCCCTTTTTATTTCTAAAAAGAACAAATTTTTGGTTAAACGCAGATCAATTTATCTTTTAACTGATGTTTTCTTAAAAAACTCTTTTAAAAGGTAATTTTTAGGTATTCGACCTACCTGACCCAAAAGGCCGATGGCGGCTCCCAAACCATTTTTTAATTATTTTTTATCCACATTATTTTTCCCGCCAAGTAAAAATTTCGTGCCCGGGCAAAAACCGGTTACGACACTTTCATTAGACCAGTTCTTGATCTCTACCTTTGTTTCTCTAATTAACACTTCAATGCTCGGCCTCTTCCTACTCTTTATGTGAATTTTCCTTTCAACAGCTTCTTTAAAACCCTCTTCCTCCATGATGTAGTTGAAAATTCTGAAGGGTTTCGAACCCCAATTTAACTTACTAGATTCCAACGCCACAACATTATGATCCGAGATTGATTTTGGTAATAATAGCTGAACAACATCCGAGAATAAACATAAAAATTCATTCGAAACTAAAAATCTATTCAGTCTCACAAATATAGGATCTTCCTATTATTACCCCAAGTGAATCTCCCTCCCACCAAAAGACCCCAAGTGAATCTCCCTCCCACCAAAGATAAATCCAGTAAATTAGCTTGAAACAAAAAATCCCAGAACATACCGATTGAATTTTCATTCAAAGATTTTCCCATCTTCTCATCATGTGATAAATGGGCATTGAAATCTCCTGTAACACACAATGGAAATCCCAATGTAGAAATAAAATTGGATAATTCCTCAAAAAACACCTCTGTATCCGATTCAACAGAAGGCCTATAGACATTAATAAAACAACACTCCTCTTGATTATCTTTGATTGTCCCCTTCATAGCTATAAACCTTAATGAAATTTTCAACTTCTGAGGTAGAAACCAATTCTCATCCCATAAAGTGACCAATCCTCCTGATGCTCCCTCTGCTGGAGACTGAACCATCCCACCTAGGCATTTACCCCCCAACTTCCTTCTCATAGCTATATTAACCACCTCTAATTTCATTTCTTGCAAAAAAAAAACGAATGTTTCTTATCTACAACCACATTTTTCACTACCCCAACCTTTTCCTTCCTACCTAATCCCTTAATATTCCAAGTGACACAAGATACACCTACCATAACTGATTATTAAACACCTTCAACATAGATAAAGGGTTAATTCCCACCCTCCTCTCGCCTAATCAGATTGGACTCCAAAAACTTCTCAGCAAATTCCTTTTCCCCCCTTAAAAATAACACCCAACATTTGGCTAACATGCCAAGTTAATTCCATTTCCTCATTTTCAATCGAAAAATCGACTGCTGAATATTCCTTCTCCGATCCACCTCTTTTATTCTTTTTATTAGACTTGTATACTGTATCGCAGAAAATGGTAGAAGCCTTAATCGGACGTCCTCGATTTGTTGGAGGAAAAGAACACCTCCTACTAGGTATTTTACTAACTTGTAAACCACTGGAACCATTCTATAATGCACGACAACCTTATTCTGAACCCTCCAAATCTGACTGCTGTGGATTTCCCTATTCCTCCACTAAATTAACTGACTCTATAGGCTTATAACCACCTCTATTTGTTGATGAACTTCCATGAACAGGCCCACTTACCTCTAACCTACCCATTTTAACATTAATCCCATTATCTTGGTCAACATTATCATGCCCCAAGAAAACCTCTCCCTGCTAACCACCATTTCTCTCTCTTCTCTACCATCCCTCGACAATTTCTTCTGACTAGGAACAACACCTATTATTGTTTCCTCTGCACATAAATCAATTGCCACTAAACTCCTCCCCATGCTCCATTATTCCATCATTTTCAACCACATCCTATAATTCCGGAAAAAAATCTTCACTTCCTTCCACCTTAATCTTGATCATGAAAGGCATTCCATACGTATTAATATAGACATAGGAAGGAATATCAAATGGACTTTCAACCCTCAACAACATATGAGCCACTCTGCAGTCCACTCTTTGGATAGTTTGTTCCTGAATCTTAACTAGCTTACCCCATCTTGAAGCCAAACTTGTGAAAAAGGAAACTGACCAACAGTTTAAAGGAACACCAATCATAGAAACTGCACAGTAAGGTAAATGAACACCCTTCTCTTCCATAACAGGCCCCAACCTCTCGAACCAAAAGGACAAAGCTTCCCACTTGTCTTCCATCGTTGCAACTTTTTCCTCCACGTCTGGAAAACTATTAAGCATGCATTTTTTGCATAACCCCATTTTACCACCTCGACATTGATTCCCTCAGATCTTAATGCCCTCTGCACAAAGTCCACTTCAAATATCTCCTTGCAAATTCCTGTTAAAGACGATCTAAGCCATGTCCTATCCTCCATTAGAATAAAAACTTCCAATGGTTTTTTCGCCTCCATCTTAGCTCTAACACTCCCTACTTTCTGACCCTCAACTTCTTTCACTCCCACAACCATATCCTTATACGTCCTACCATCGTAAAACTTGTTCATCAACTCCTTCTTCCCAGCATCTGCAATTAGTGATAATGATTTATTCCTTAACGACTCCTCTGCTCCTGCATCTCTAGCCCCCGCCATACTTGTACGCTTAAAGTTCCTCAAAATATTTATCTTCTGATACTTCGTAATCGACACCAATAGTATCCTCCCATAGAACAATACATTGTTCATCCTTTCAGTAGCATTATGCAAATCCTCTTTGCTTTCAAAATGCACAAAATCAAACATATTATCCTTGTATTTAGGTCTCATATTAACAAACGAAATGAAACCTTAATCACCTTGCCATGATGACTAAAACGATCCCATAATGCACTTCTATGCACTCGCCTACTAAGATTATCCACGAATGCTACCCACGATACTCCTCCAGACATTGATCTACTTCTGCCCGGACGAACAAAACCCTTCAAACTCTCCTCTCTCTCTACCTTTCTCACTCATGTTTATCTAGGAAACTTTCATTGCATAATTTTTACCTTTATCAGTTTACTGAGGCAGGCTCCATCTTAAATAACCAATCACTTGTTAAAGTTCATCTCTGAATATCTGTATGGAAATGAAGGATAAACAAATTCACTTACTTATAGCAGATGATAGAAACAGATGGGAATTTTTTTTCCTGAACTGGTCAAAAGAAACAACTTATGAGTTTCAACTTGCCTGCGAGACAGCTTATTTGGGTTATTTTGTCATTGTCCAAGTTCATCACTCACAAGCTCTGCATAGGACTTGTTTAACAGCCAAAATATAAGAAATGGGATAGGCTTATGATCAGAAATTCACTTACCGGGTTTGGGGGAATGCTTACATTCATTATTTGGTTTGTTAGAAGTATTTTCTTTGCTGCAAAAGAAGGGTGATTAAATATTTTTGAAACAATCAGCAAGCAACAAAAATTACCACAAATAATTTGTAAATACATAACCAATTACACTGCCAGTATATTTATATTTCATTAGTTATTTTGCCTTACTCCCCCACACAAATCTTTAGTACATGTAAAAGAAAAGGTCTGAGACTTTCCCTTAAGGTCAATTATAAACATTGGTGACCATTACGGAGTTAAAATAACATGGACATCAAAGCAATAAAGACTCTTTTTCAATCATGTTTGAGCAATTATTATCAGTTTAGAAGTCAATCCATGTAAAAAGGCTAATAGCTTAATGTAAAGTGACAATACTATGATCCTCCAAAAGACCAGGCATTTCACACCAAAAATAACGATGATATTTCTATAAAGATATAGGTTAGATTGAATTAACACAACCATGAAAACAAAAAAACACATTCAACTAAACTTAAACATGAATTAATCCTAATTAAATGTGCATCTTGAAAAGACATTCCAACCAGATGTTAACCTTCAAGACTGATAACAAAAAGGCAAATGTTGAATGCTTCAAGTTTCTAAGACTAATGACAAAGTCGATATTCCATTTCCCACTCTATCAAGCAGAAGGAAAACAGTGGCAACCAAGGTTATTTAAATTAAGCAGGTTGAGGAAACCAAAACTCTGCTACTAACCCTGAGGATCCTGTTGAAGATGTCTGCCCCGACGAATGAGTATTATAAGCCCTATCGATAGCACTATAAGGTGGACAATATGTTGTTCCTAGTGCGCCAACAGCACCTGTTAGTACAGTAGCCTAAACAAGAAAAATGAAAATAATTACTGCACTGGACTTAAACAGATGAATAAATCAGAATAACAAGAATCTGAATAAACCTTCAAGAGAGACTTAACTGTGCATTAATATTCAAACACAAGTCCATGCTCAATGTGATTGACCACAAAAGGCTTATATGGTAACTATAGGGAGTCTGAAACACTAACTAGTAATTGTTAAGTTATGTTTCATATCGGAGAGGTAACTACCTCCATACAATATCAATTCCCCATGCAAGACCTGACTGATACATCACTCTTATTTGTTTCTACAGAAAAAATTACTATACCATGTCATTTCTAAATTTCTCATTCCAAGTTGCGGCTGGGCAACATATCTTGGAAATGCCATGCAAACAACAGGAACACTAAGGCCACTGGAGTGCTGGCCCCCAAACTACATAACTGCATGCCAACCATTCAATAAAAGTAGAATAAATGAGGTTATAGAGAAGTTTAATAGCAGGAATTAAGAAATAAAAGATTAGTCGAGTAAACATGAAATAATATAAGTAAATATAAGCAACCAAGTAGATAAAAGTTATTCCCAAACACCACATAGTATCGATTTCAGATACAAATATATTCAAACTCCAACCTCAAACCACCCCAAAAAAAGCATATCCCTAATCAAAACAACATTGAAGGAATTTAAACTCCATCTGGTCTTAAACATAAGGCCATTAAAATAGTAGATAAAAACTACCTCTGTTATTTACTAAAATATTTGATTTAATTCATACAAAATTTCAAATAATGGTTGGGACTAAGGAATTAGTATGCTCTACTCCAGGTAAGGCAATTTCCCCCATTTCACATTTTACCTTCTATGGTTGATTATGTTACCCAAACAAATTGAAGGTTAAAAAATGAAATGCTTTACTAGGAAAAAAGGCAGGAAAGGTTTGATCACCATGGCTTATAGACATATTCCCTATAGTTCCAATAATCTGAGCTCCACTGAAGATTGTTTTTTCCCTTGCTCGCCAATGCACCCTCAGGCTTACTTGTTTCTGAAGATTCAACCTCTCCAGATTCATAGGAACTGACTGACATAGCTGTTTCTGGTGGAGATGAAGCTCGAGACCAATACCAGGATTCTAGCCCAACTGCTGAGCAGCTGCTTGAACAGAAAAGTGAGCCCTGCCTTGTACAGGATTCTCTGAACAGAATTGACCTGTATTGGTGGAGCAACTCTGTTGACTTGGTTGTGCTGTGGTGTTGCTGATAAGCCTTCGGTCCTGGGATAGTTATGCCTCTACCCTATACCCTAGTTTGAGAGGGTTGACTACTATTATCTAATGAAGTTCCAGAATGTAGCATTTTCACATTGGTCACGGAAGCTAATGTGGTGGAATCATCTGTATAAAGCTTTTCCATGCTGAGAGAATCAAGGGCATTCTTCCCTTGTAATGAATTGGATTGAAATACAGAAAAATTCTCATTTGTAATATATTGAGATCCATGCTGACACTTCTAGCTTGAACATCCTTCTTCTGAAAAGAAATATCTTTCTCGAAAGATCCTGATAGATAAAAAGGATGGGGAAGCTGAACTCAAGTTTGAAGCAAAAATATGTTTCTTAGCAGGATTTGATACAATGTTTGCATTTGTTGCAGGTGTGAAAGCTCTACTTGAATTGGCTTGTGAAGTTTTCTCAACGGTCTGACATAACATTTGATCAAATAAAGGTCTTTATAATAGAGGTGGTTTAAGGGATCTTTTTAGTTCTTATGGTCAGATTATAAGAATTTTTATCCTACGTTTTTTAGAGAAACCAAATTATAAGTCTTCAACCTTTGCATTTGTCCAATTTGCTGATGAAGAAAGTAGAAAGAAGGCAATTCAGTATACTCATGGTAAGTGGATTGATGGGAGAAGGATTTTAGTAGGGATTGCTAAATATCAAAAGACTATGAGGAAGGAAACTGCTGAAGGGAAGAGGTTGATGGGAAACAAGTCAGGTAAACAGGAAAAAACACAAATCCAGAAGAAAGTTGTATCGGTGAGAAGCCTGAGGGATGAAAGATCTTATAAGGATGTTGTGAATAATAGCCTTAATGCGAGAAGAAAACAAGTTTCAGGGGAGAAACTGGAGGGTGCAAAACAGAATGCAAGGGGTGTTAGGAACGTATGGGAGATGCACATTCTGGGGAACCATTCGGAGTGCGTTAAGCGATCATTAACAGGGATAATAAAACATTCCTATGAACAAGATTCGATAAAGGAAGCTTTGAAGATCAAGAGAGTGGGAGTTGAGATATCGAAATGGGGTTATGCACGGAATGCTTGCATCATTACATTCAATACGATTGAGGAGCTTACATACGTATGGAAGAATAAGAAAGAAGAATTATGCTTATGTTTCGATTGATTGGCTCCAGTTCCGAATGATGATGGAGTTCCATTGGCCCTTTGCCAAATAGAGATGTACGGAGTGCCTCTATTGTGCTGGAATGAGGCATTCATGGAAAAACTTACTGGGAAATGGGGAAAATTCATTTGTTTTAATGAAGATTCAAAGAGCAGATTGGATTTATCAGTGGAAAAAGTACTGCTAAGAGTAGAAAGTCCATTCATGTCCCTGATATGGTCACTATTGGTTCTTATGGCAGATTGTTCAAAGTGAAGTTATCTCTGGGTTCTGTTTTGAAAAAACCAGAAGAATTACTGGGGAAGACGGAGGAGAAATTTTCAAAAATTTTGCACAGTGATTATGTCATGTCTGTGCAGGGGGATGGGCAGCGTTCTACTCTGGCAGCAGCTACTAATAAGGAGTTATCAGAGGAATCCAGGCATAAAGTCTTACCTTGGCTGAATAATAAACAAATAGTGGAGTGAATGGAGTCAGTAGGGGACAAATCCCATCAAGTAAGTCAACTGAAGAAATTGCTAATTGTGGGCTATTAGTTTTTATGGAAAATAAGAGTAACCAGAATAGGAATCACGTGGGGCTGGGATTAAGGGAAATTTTTGAACTAGAGGATAAAGCCCAATCAGATGAAATTGGGGTTGATTTTTCACCAATAAGGAAAATTATCCCTATTGGGCCTGCATTTATTCCTAAGTGGGTTGGGGAGAAGAATTATACTGATAGATTTATGTGCCAGCCCAATACCATTTCAGTTAATTATAGAAAAGTTACAAAGGAATGTGCAGTTACGTTGGTGAAAGAAAAGACAGGGGGAGAGAAAGAAATGTCAAACACTGAGCATGATGTTGATATGGATAAAGAGCAGCATGTTGGCTTGAGAAGTCGACAGGAGAATGAAGCAACTAATACACTGAATTTTAATGATTTTGAGAGAGACAAGCTCTCTGTCCAACAGAGGGCTGGTTCAAAGAAGAATAAAAGGATAAATGATGATAAACAGATTGGCCTGATTGAGGCTAGCTCTTCCAGCTCATGTGTAAGGCAGAGAAATGTAGTGAATCAAGTTGGAACTAGTTCAGAGTTAATTATGGATGGTCAGTTCAAAAGAAAGGAGATTTGTTTGTCCTCTTCCAAAATTCTGTTCAATGTCTTCATCGGGCAAAAAGCTTAAATAATCAGAGAAGACTAAAAATTGCTCCTCGACGTTCAGGTAGTGTGTGCTCAGAGAGGGAAGTGTCAATCAATTTTTTTGATAGAGTTTATAGAAGAGTGTATAGAAGTATGGTCAGGGACTCTTTGGAAAAAGACATATCATCCTCAAAGTCTTCATACTCTTCTGTTAAAGCTTTGAATGAAGCTATTGCTACTAGAGAAGTTTGTAACATGTTGGGGATTAATTTCAAAGGGGGGCAACATTGTTAGAAGAGGAGATTTTGAAGATGGAAAGGAAGGGGTCTAGGAAAGAAAAGAAGTAATTTAGTCTTCCTTTTCAAGGGTTTTAAGAT